ACTTAAATCCCAGCCGCTGTAATTTGATCATCTCGTTAATCGTGCAGCTCTATAGTTAATACGGTAGTACATTCACACAAGCATGTAACATTGTCAGGATTATGTTCGCTAGATATCATTTTAGCACACCGGTAACAAATGTTTGTAGATTTTGATGTCAGTTTCTCAATGTCACACTCTCAGGTTTGGAACATAAACGAGCTCCCTACAAAGAGAAGGACATGAGCTGTGCTCCGAAGTTCACCGCGCCCCTCGTCGATCGATCTGTGACTATCGGCTACAGCACCGCCATCAGCTGCTCAGTCAGAGGCTTGCCAAAGGTGCGAGACAGTGTTCATCATCTCCACATACTCTACTGAACATGAGGACACAGTCTTTGTCTTAAGCTCAGTATGTTATTATACTGAGGCAGAACACTACACTTGAGTTGTTGCCATTTCCCCAGATGATTAATCACAGTAGATTAAGGCAATTGTTTACTTTAAGTTTTCTAAAATGTTCAATTTAAATATGTATAGATATGAGGCATTAACTAGTTAAATATGCAGTAATTTGCATGAATTTTCTGAACATAAATCTGAAAGCCAGGTTAAAAATTCCTGTTGCATTTTGTTGACATATTAGAGTCAAAGGTTTTTTGGGGATATTTTTTATATTTTTATCAGAAAATACTGTCAAAAGACAGAGAGCAGTACATTTACACCATGTTTTTAGGAATAAAATGTTATATAAAATCAGATATATGACCAAACCCCATTAGACTATAGATTAGAATAAAACTGTTAAGTTTGGTGGATGTAAGTGCTGCTGAAGTGGAGAAAAAAAAAACATATTTTGAGGAATCTGAACCTTTAAATATATGCATAGTAATTGAAATCTACAAATGCAAGTCTGAAACAACATGTTATAAAAAGCCAAATAGCCCAAACTCTCAAAACTTACCAATATGTTTGCCTGTAATGTGTTGCTTTAACATATACTCACCATCATTCAACATCCTTCACGTCTCCACAGTCCACTGCAGAAAAATCAAACATAAAAAACAATGTCATATCCAGTTTAATGCTATAATGTCATAGGGCTGTCAAAAAAACATTCGAATTTCATCCCAAAAAATTACGTCAAAACACACAGAACGCATATTTATCACATTTTCTAGAGGGACATCTATCACTGTTGCACTCGCGTCTCGCACAAGAGAGCGGCATGTTTAGAAAGCCATGTAAAATTAATGCAAGTTCAACTTTTAAAAAACATGTCTCAAGACGTTATGGCGGTTTTTCCCCATCCCACTGCATCTCATGTTTTTAAAAGTAGCCTACTTTTGTGATTGGTTTTCGGTCCTTTGTATTAAACTATACATACATGCATGATGCTGTTTTTTTTCTAATTGTTTAAGCAACTTTATTAATTATATATGGTTTATAAACATTATGCACTTTTTTCGAAGATAGTCGGGTTATTTTATTACGCTTTGAAGAAACGTGCATAATATTTTGCTCGATGCGCCCTCTTGTGGCCTCAGAAAAGAAGCCAAAAGCTAACTGAAATTATGCCTTTTATATTCGTATATAATTCGAATTTTGATCATATTTAAGTTGAAAATTCGAATTTAGTTTTTCAGTCATTTTGACAGCCCTATAATGTCATGAGATGTACTTAGTTAGTAAATAAACACTAAATTTCACCTCTGAGCAGAGCAATTCTGTGTTTCTGTGCAGCCGAAGATCATCTGGATGAAGAACAAGATGATATTAGGTGACAATCCAAAGTTCCTGATGCAGAATAATCAGGGAGTTTTGACTCTAAACATCCGCAAACCCAGCACCTTTGACAGCGGGAAGTACACTTGCAAGGCTGTGAATGAGCTCGGAGAAGATGAGGTGGAGTGCAAATTGGAAATCAGAGGTAATTACACGTACACTGAAAAGAAACTGATGTAGAACCCATTTTCAAGGAGAGATTGTTAGTAAATTTCACAAGTTATTACAAAGAAACAGCAAGTAATGCACTGAATATTAAGTGTGAAATTTTGAAATAGAAAAACCTAAATATAATTTTCTCGTATAACAGTCTTTATTTACAATTTAGGGTTAGGGTTAGGTTAAAAAAATATATTTTTTAAATCTTCGTTACAGTGTATTTGGAACATTATGAGGCAAACGGCTCAATAAACACTAAGTGATTACTTAATAAAAATCTAAAGGATTATGTGTAGGGTTAGGTGCTAGAAAATATGATTAGCTCAGTATAAAACCCAGATAATTCAAAGCGTCACACAGCGTGGGAACAAGAGTTCTTTGTTTTAAACGCAGTACTTCAGTGAATCACTAGAGGGCGCATGTAGTACAGAGGCGCCTGCAGTGTTTCCTTCATTAAACTGCTGCTGTGTCATGTTTTCTGACATGCTTGTGTCACCAGTTAAACACTATTACCAATGTATAACATTAGAATATGCCATCAGACAGCATCCAGCAGACAAAGAATGTGCACAAACAAAGTTATACAACCGATCAAATCATCGCCGGAGGAGAATGAATGCATTTAAGGTGGTTTAATGTATATGTGTCATACTGACAGCACACAAGCTTCAGATGCAGGAACAACCAGATGCTTTATGGGTTTGTAGCTCTGTGCAACATGTTACAGGAAGAGAATTAAAGCAGGAAAGTCATACTTAATTTCACATTTGTCTTTTTAGTAATGCCAGTGGCTGGCATTTCAAATAGCACATTATCATAGTGCTACATTTGGATTCGGTGCGCAGAACACATCAAGTAGATATTATGCACATTTTCTGCTCATTCGATCCACTGATCTTCACAATTTACAGTTAGATATCCAAATCCAGCTAACTTGGTCATATTTTCTGCACTATCATAGATGCGTTAATCTGTTTATAATAGTAGTTTACCCAGAAGGCCATTAGTGCATGGCTTTGGTGATATAAGAGACATTAACTGACCTGTTTTGATGGTCAAGACAACGTGTTAAAATGTAATCTCGTCTCCTTGCATTGATTGAGATGCCTGTTTTGGGGCATTTTACATTTCTTTCATGATATTTAAGGACATTTATCACAAAAAATATTTAAATATGTATTATATTTAGCCTATTTTAGGGCATTTTTACATGTCTTTCATGGCATTTAAAGTAATTTATTCCTCAAAATATGTGTCATATTTAACCTATTTAGGGCATTTTTACATTATTTTCATGACATACAAGGACATATGATATATCCCTAAAATATTTAAATATGTATAATGTTTAGCCTATTTTGGGGTATTTTTACATTATTTTCATGGCATTTAAAAACATTTATCCCTAAAATAATTTTTAAATATGTATAATGTTTAGCCTATTTTAGGGCATTTTTGTATATTTATCCCAATTTTTTTTTTAATGTAATATATTTTGCTTATTTTGGGGCATTTTTACATTCACGACATTTAAGAATATTTATCTCTAAAATATTTAAATATGTATTATATTTAACCTACTTTGGGTATTTTTTACATTATTTTCATGGCATTTAAGGACATTTATCTCTAAAAAAATATTTAAGTATGTATAATATTTAACCTATTTTGGGGTATTTTTACATTATTTTCATGGCATTTAAGAACATTTATCCCTAAAAAAATTGTATATGTAATATATTTTGCTTATGTTGGGGCATTTTTGCATTCATGACATTTAAGGATATTTATCCCTGTATTATATTTAGCCTATTTTGGGGTATTTCTTACATGATTTTCATTGCATTTGGACATTACGGTAATGCAAAAAAAATCCATTCTTATTAAAGTCTTAACATCAGCATAAATTGAGTACAGCAGATACTACCATGATGTATATCATTATTGTTTTACGAGTAATACAAATACACAGCATATCAAATCTTTATCACAAAAAATATTTAAATATGTATTATATTTAGCCTATTTTAGGGCATTTTTGCATGTCTTTCATGACATTTAAGGATATTTATCCCAATTTTTTTTTAATATAATATATTTGGCTTATTTTGGGGCATTTTTACATTCACGACATTTAAGAATATTTATCTCTAAAATATTTAAATATGTATTATATTTAACCTACTTTGGGTATTTTTTACATTATTTTCATGGCATTTAAGGACATTTATCTCTAAAAAAATATTTAAGTATGTATAATATTTAACCTATTTTGGGGTATTTTTACATTATTTTCATGGCATTTAAGGACATTTATCTCTAAAAAAATATTTAAGTATGTATAATATTTAACCTATTTTGGGGTATTTTTACATTATTTTCATGGCATTTAAGAACATTTATCCCTAAAAAAATTGTATATGTAATATATTTTGCTTATGTTGGGGCATTTTTGCATTCATGACATTTAAGGATATTTATCCCTAAAATATTTAAATATGTATTATGCTTAGCCTATTTTAGGGCATTTTTACATGTCTTTCATGACATTTAAGGACATTTATCCCTTTTTTTTTTTTTTTTTAAATATGTAATATATTTAGCTTATGTTTGGGCATTTTTACGTTCATGACATTTAAGGATATTTATCCCTAAACATATTTAAATATGTATTATATTTAACCTACTTTCTGTATTTTTTACATTATTTTCATGGCATTTAAGGACATTTATCTCTAAAAAAATATTTAAATATCTATTATATTTAGCCTATTTTGGGGTATTTTTACATTATTTTCATGACGTTTAAGGATATACCTATTTTTTATTTATTTTTTTAAATATGTAATATATTTTGCTTATGTTGGGGCATTTTTGCATTCATGACATTTAAGGATATTTATCCCTAAAATATTTAAACATGTATTATATTTAACCTAGTTTAGGGCATTTTTACATGTCTTTCATGACATTTAAGGACATTTATCCCTTTTTTAAAAAATTTTTTTTTTATATGTAATATATTTTGCTAATGTTTGGGCATTTTTACATTCACGACATTTAAGGATATTTATCCCTAAACATATTTAAATATGTATTATATTTAACCTACTTTTGGTATTTTTTACATTATTTTCATGGCATTTAAGGACATTTATCTCTAAAAAAATATTTAAATATGTATAATATTTAGCCTATTTTGGGGTATTTTTACATTATTTTCATGGCATTTAAGGACATTTATCTCTAAAAAAATATTTAAATATGTATAATATTTAGCCTATTTTGGGGTATTTTTACATTATTTTCATGGCATTTAAGAACATTTATTCCTAAAAATGTTTTATATGTAATATATTTTGCTTATGTTGGGGCATTTTTACATTCATGACATTTAAGGATATTTATCCCTGTATTATATTTAGCCTATTTTGGGGTATTTCTTACATGATTTTCATTGCATTTGGACATTACGGTAATGCAAAAAAAATCCATTCTTATTAAAGTCTTAACATCAGCATAAATTGAGTACAGCAGATACTACCATGATGTATATCATTATTGTTTTACGAGTAATACAAATACACAGCATATCAAATCTCATCTCTTCTCACAAACACATTCTCTCTCTTCTGAACGCAGCCGCACCGATAGAGAAGAAGGACTAGGACAGATGACGGCAGCGTTAACAGCAGAGATGAAACGGATGGGAAATGACATCGACTGAGTATGATCCACCATAAACTTATGTTTTAAAGTCATTTGTGTTAGCCAGGCTCTCCGTGTGAATGAAATAACCGACGCCGGCTCACTCTCGCTCTGGTTTTGTAGATTTTGAAGGCTTTGAATAAACGCTCGGTTGACTGCATTAAGCCCCAGTGAGAAGTATTTTTATCAAAACTATAGCAACCGGTGACTTTGTGCTATGGACAATTATGCATGTTCAAAAACAATGGCTTTAATAGGGACTGAACACAGATCCTTCCTTTCAACATGTAGTCGACATATTTCCTCTTCATAAATGATTTAAGGTTCAAACAGGTGATTGATTGCTTATATAAGTACAATACATTATAAAAATTTATATAAACTGGTTACATACCATAATGCTGTCTGAAATGATCGAATTGCCTAATGCTTTCATTTTGCTCGAATATTTGCAGCCCAAACTGCATTGTATGTGTAACTTGTATCTGCATTTGTTGTGTTGCAGAGCGGAAAATAAACTACTTTTATGACAACTGCACCATCACTGATTTCACAACACATCTGCAGGTGAAGATAAAGCACACACTCAAACACATAAAGAGGATTTTTCACCATTTTCTGCTCATTTGATCCACTAGTCTTCACAAAAGATGTCTAAAGATTTCTAACTTTTTCACATTTTCCACAATATCATAGATCCGTTATCAGTTTATTATAGAAATAAAGTTTACCCAAATGGTGCTGATTGAAAGATATTAATTGACCTCCTTTAATGGCCAAGACGTATTTATTCAAATGTGACGATGTGAAAATTAGGATTTTGTCACCTACAGTAGTATTGATTGGGATATGGTTTTTGACAAATTGTTGAATCTCACAAAGCCCAGGTCATATTTATTCTCAATATTAAACAGAAAAAAAGACCTATAAAAAAACGTATGAACATATATAAATAAAAATGTGTGTGTGTATTCATTGCAGTCAAGGACATGTATCCCTTAAAATATTTAAATATGTATTATGTTTAGTCTATTGTAGGGTATTTTTACATTACTTTCATGGCATTTAAGGAGATTTATCAATCGAAATGTTATGTATTATAGTTAGTCTATTGTAAGAAATTGAAAGAAATTTCAAAGATAAACAAAATTATAAATTATATTTATTTATTTATTTTTGCGTATTTTTACATTCCTTAGTGACATTTAAGGACATTTAACCCTAAAAATCAAAAAAAAAAAAAAAAACCTGTTATATTTAATCTATTTTAGGGTATTTTTACAGAACACACATATACATACATATATATATATATATATACAGTGGGTACGGAAAGTATTCAGACCCCCTTAAATTTTTCACTCTTTGTTATATTGCAGCCATTT